TGCATCATTCCTGTTGTATCTGGAAGATACTGTTTTTTTAGGAGTCATCCATGATGTTTGGCTCTTACAATCATTCTCCCTCTTCTGCATAGATCCTGGAGCGTTGGGGGAAAGGGTTTGATGACATTCCCTCTAGAGCTGAGTACACCAAAGTTTCTCACTCTTTGTGGGTCTCTGTTAATTCTCATCTTCTGTGGGAAGAAACTCCTCTGATGGGGTTTAGCAAGGCAATGGTTTGTGGATATAACAGAATATTATTAGGAGTCATTAGAATAATAGTAGCAGGTTTTTACCTAGGTCTGTTAACTGTCTTGTCTCAGGTTCTTGGCAACTAGCATTAACAGGTATGAGTTTCATCTCATGGAGTGGATCTTAAATACATTAAAAAAAAGTGGTTGGTAACACCCATAACATTTGTGCCTCTATGGCACCAATATATATTGCTGGCAGGAGTGTTGTAGGTCTTGGGGTGTGTAGCTTGGTGATATTGATTATTACCTTTCTTTTCTAGTAGTGTATAGAATACCTTCTAGTACCATGAATGCTAGTCAACAGGGGTGAAGCTTCTAGTTGGACAGCAGTTTGATTCCTCTGTGCTTGAAGACATAAATAGTTATTACCCTCAGCAACAGGGTTTTGCCAACAGGATATAGAGAGGAAACAACAGCTTTGGCAATAGTCTGATGTTTGGGGGAGGTGCTGAACAAAGGATTCCTTTGTTCAACAACTCAACAATCTGTAACTATTTCTGGCACTGGAGGTTTTACTTGGTAGTATAATATATCTAGTTGGGCCATTGTTTCTGTGCTCTGTTTATTTGGATTATTAATTTTCTTGATGTTAAATATTTTTAGATCTTTATATGTTTTAGATTCTAATCCTTTAACAGATATATAATTGATAAAGATCTTTTCCCATTCTGTAGGCTGTCACTTTGCTCCAATGACCCATGTCTTTTTCTGTACAGAAGCTTTTCAGCCTTATGATGTCTCACTTATTAATTGTTGTTTTTAGTGCATGTACTATTAGTGTCTTGTTCAAAAATTTCTTTTCTGTGTTAAAGAGTTTAAACTAGTTTTTTACTTCCTTTTATCATATTCAGAACATCTGGTCCTTTTTATCAGTTGTACAGCCACCCAGTTTGACCATCATCATTTGTTAAAGGTGCTATCATTTCCCAAATGTGCTTCTTTGTCAAAAATCATATGTCCATATGTATGTGGACTTATACCTGGGTCTTCATTCTGATTCCATTGAGCAGTGTGTCTTTTTATGCAGTACTATACTGCTTTTATTGCTGTCACTCTGTAACACAACTTGCAGTCTGTGATGGCTATCCTTCCAAACAGTTTTTTATTTTACTTTTTTTATTTAGCATTATTTTAGCTATGCTGGGCCTTTTGTATTTCCATATGAAGTTGAAGATTTTTTTTTAACTTCCTCTGCACAGTTGTGTTTGAATTTTCATTGGGATTGCATTGAAGATTGATGTAAATTGCTTTTGTTATGATGACCATTTTCATAATATCGGTACTATGAATCTATGAGCATGAGAGATCTTTCCATCATCTAATGTCATCTTCAGCTTCTTTCTTCAGTGTCTTAAAGTACTTATTATTCAAGTCTTTCACTTAACTTGGCTAGAGTTATTCCAAGGAGGTGAAAAATTGGGCTCATTGTGAAAGGTAACAGTTTCCCGATTTCTTTCTTTTAATTTTTATTTTTTATATTAATTAAAGTTTATTTACTTTGTATCCCAACTGTAGTCCCCTCTCTCATTCCCTCCCAATCTCACCCTCCCTCTCTCATCTCCTCCCTGCCCCTTTCTAAGTCCACTGATAGGGGAGGTCCTCCTTCCCTTCCATGTGATCCAAGTTTATTAGGTCTCAGGACTGGCTGCAGTGTCCTCCTCTGTGGCCTAGCAAGGCTGCTCATCCCTGGAGGAAGGGGGGTTATCAAAGAGTCCACCGCTGAGTTCATGCCAGAGACAGTCCCTCTTCCCCTTACTAGGGAAACCCACTTGGATACTGAGCTGCCATGGGCTACGTGTGAGCAGGGGTTCTGGGTTATATCCATGCATGGTTGGAGAATCAGTCTCAGAAAAGATCCCTGTGCCCAGATATATTTGGTCCTTGTGGAGCTCCTATCCTCTCCATGTCTTACTAACTTCCCCTTCTTTCATATGATTCCCTGCACTCTTCCCAAGGTTTGGTTATGAGTCTCAGCATCTGCTTTGATATACTGTTAGGTAGAATGGCAGAGAAACGCTTAAAGAATGCTCAACGTCCTTAGCCATCAGGGAGATGCAAATCAAAACAACCCTGAGATTTCACCTTACACCTATCAGAATGGCTAAGATCAAAAACTCAAGTGACAACACATGCTGGAGAGGTTGTGGAGAAAGGGGAACCCTCCTCCATTGCTGGTGGGAATGTAAACTTGTACAGCTACTCTGGATATCAATCTGGCGCTTTCTCAGAAAATTAGGAATAGCGCTTCCTCAAGATCCAGCCATACCACTCCTAGGCATATATCCAAAAGATACTCAAGCATACAAAGAAGGACCTTTGCTCAACCATGTTCGTAGCAGCTTTATTTGTAATAGCCAGAAGCTGGAAACAACCCAGATGTCCCTCAGTTGAGAAATGGATACAGAAATTCTGGTACATTTACACAATGGAATACTACTCAGTAATTATAAACAAGGAAATCATGAAATTTGCAGGCAAATTGTGGGTTCTAGAAAAGATCATCCTGAGTGAGGTGTCCCAGAAACAGAAAGACACACACGGTATACACTCACTTTTAAGTGGATACTAGACCTATAAGATAGGATAAACATACTAAAATCTGTATACCTAAAGAAGCTAAACAAGGAGGAAGACCTGGGCTAAGATGATCAATCCTCACTTAGAAAGACAAATGGGATGGACATTGGAAGTAGGAGAAAACAAGAAACAGGACAGGAGCCTACCATAGAGGGCCTCTGAAAGACTCGAATTTGTGTATTAATTGGATCCTGTTACTATGCAGAAAGTATTTATCAGCTGCAGAAGTTTCCTGGTGAAGTTTTTAGGGTCTTTTATGTCTAAAATCATATCATCTACAAATAAAGCTACTGTGACTTCCTTTTCTCTTTGTATGCTCTTGATCTCTTTCAGTTGTGTTACCACTGTAGCTAAGATTTCAAATACTAGATTGAATATGTGTACAGAGAGTGGACATGCTTGTCCTCTTCCTGACTTAAGAAGAAATGCTTTGAGTTTCTTTCCATTGACTTGTTGGTTATGGGCTTGCTGTAAATTACCTTTAGTATGTTGAGGTATGCTCTTGGATCCGTAGTTTTTTTCCAGGACTTTTATCTTTAAGAGGTGTTCGATTTTTGTCAAAGAGCCTTTTCTGCATCTAATGAGATGATCATGTTGTTTTTGTCTTTCAGTCTGAAAGTTATATGGTAGATTATGTTTATCGATGTATTTGTTTTGAACTATCCCTGCAGCTCTGGGATAAAGCCAACTTGATCATGGTGGATGATCTTTTTATAGGTGTTCTTGGATTTGGTTTGCATGTATTTTATTGAGAATTTTTGCATCTGTGTTCTTAAGGGATATTGAGCTGTAATTTTTTTCTTCTTCTTTTAATTGTTGGGTTTTTGTGTAGTTTAGGCACCAAGGAAGTTGTGTCCTCTTAAAAAGAATTAAGACATATTGTTTTACTTTTTATTTTGTGGAATAAATTGTGAAGTATTGATGTTATTTCCTCTTTAAAGTTGTGGTAGAATTCTTACTGAATCCATCTGTCCTTGAGCTTTGTTCGTTGGATGACTTTTTTTTGTGTGTTTTGAAATTTTTTTATTTTTAAATTTAATTCTATGTATATATTTATTTATTACAATTTATTAACTTTGTACCCCTCTGTAGCTTCTTCCCTCATCTCCTCCCAGTCTTACCCACCCTCTGTCTTCTCCCCCATGCCCTTTCCCCCGTGGTTGGATGACTTTTAATTACTGCTTCTGTTTTACTAAGGGCTATGAGTCTGTTTAAATTATTTGCTCTTTAGTGTAGTGTTCTTTTTTAAAACTCTACTTTTTTGAGGGTATTTGGGCCTCAACCTTCTTTCCAAACTGTCAGCCCTAGGTAGAAGGGAGAGAAGGTTAGTGGGGAGAGAGGGCCCAGAACCCTTTATTTCTCCCAGCTGTTCAGGGCTATAGCAATCTTCAGCAGCAGCAAACCAACCAGCAGTCACAGCCAAGTCATGGCACCCTGAAGCGAACCACCTCTTCAGCTCCTCAGATAATTTAATACTAGTAAATACTGTTCCAGAAAACATTTGATAGCTTTAAGGCAAAATATAAAACATTAAAGGTTATAAATATTATATGGCAGAATGTTCTTGTATTTTTTAAAAAATGGATAGCTAAAAAATGAAAACCTTTTTTTATGACCATTTTACTGTTTATTACTATTTCTAAAAGTGTTTCAAATGTCATAGTTAACAAAGTGAAGAACAAAGGCTTATGTCAAAGCAAAGTCCCAAAGGCTTATGGACAAGTCAGGAAGAATTCAAGAATGCTTTATATGGAATGTATGAGAAATGTTCAGTGAAGACGAATTTATCTTTCACTTATTGTTTGACCCTATGGTATGATAATTAGAATGTAACTAAATTCTGATTGCAAAATTAAGTGATCTCACTGTGCTTTCCAAGACTTTGAGGTTTTCACATTTAAGGGCACAAATGTCCTTAAGTTTAGATGTCAGCCACTTAATTTGTCATTGTAAGTTTTTGTCTTTATATCTGAAGTCCAGCAAAATTTTATACCTTGCATGTTAGCTCCAATAGAGGAAGCTCAACTTTGAGGCTGAATTTCTAAAACTTGACATAGTTTGTGACTAATACGGTTCACTTCCCATAATTTTATGGACTCACAATATGGCTTATGTGTGAATGAAATGCCGTCCATATTAACAAAGGTCATCCTTGCTATTGTCCCACTGCAGAAAATTTGTAATGGCTTGGTGAAGATAGAAAAACCATCAGAAAGGCTAAAGCACTCCCATACTGTAAGTATCTTTTTGGAAAAAAAAAAGTTTAAGAATATTTTATGTCCATTTATTTTGGGGAAAATATGTTAAAATATATGTAAAATATAGAGGTGGATAGTATAATCATCTTAATAATTTATAAGAACTAATCTTGTGTTGCTTTTAAAAATTGAAAATGTGTTTTTATGTATTAAGATGAGGATTTTTCCAGTAGCATTGAAAAATATTTCTAATTCTAACAAGGATTGATTATTCTATATACATTTGCTTATTTAAAATTATCAGAATCCAGAAAATCATTGTAGTTTTATAGGTTGTGACTTGTTTGGTTGGCTTATTGTTTAGGTTATTTTGCAGAATTATTTATTTGCTGATTTATTTATGTATTTCATTATTTATTTATTTGATTATTTAGTAAATTATTTATCTGATGAATTATTAATATATCTTCATGACATGCTTTAAATTATTTATAACTTAATTTTGAGTTTATTGCTTTTAGACGCTGCATTGTTACTGACTAGGTTTGATTTTTTCTTTGTGGTTCTTGAAAATTAAAGTATTAGCTCTGAGGCAGAGTATATTCATTCCAATGCCATAGACTTCTTTTTATTTTTATTTTGTTGGTAATTGATGACAGTGATAAGATTTTAGCTTTGCTTTGTGTTTAGCATTAAATTATCCTTTTAGGGTTACTTGAGTGTGATAAAGTCAGGATATTGTGTATGTGGTCATTGTGAGTCACTTGCTGATTAATGACACAATGTTTCATGTGTAAACAAAAAATGGAACTTGTTAAACCTATCTTCCACATTATTTTATGTCCTCCAAAGGCAGGTGTGCATTTCTTAACTTGTTTTAGAATAAATGGTGAATTTACTTGGTTTTAGTGGCAAATCTGTTTTACCACTGGAAAGTTTTTAGGAAAGTTTACAGAATTGAATTGCAACTTGGGTTTGGATCCGTTTTTGTTTAAAATCAATTCTGTAGGCATTGAGAAAACAGCAAGATGTTTATATAAATTTTTATATCACTTATAATGACATTTATTTCCTATATCTTACAAATAATATTTTAATAAATTAGACTAGTTTCTATTATTAAGCAGTGAATATCATTTCTTCTTCTAATTCTATTTAATAATCATAATTATCAGGGCTTTTCTTGATTAATTTATGAATAGGTGAATTGTCACTTGAATAAAGCATGCCTTGTCTGCTACATGTTCTTCATTTCTAGTTTTTTTGCTGTACAGTTTTTATACTTGGGAGAGAAGCTACATTGTATCTCTCAAGTTGAGATACTATGGCTTCTATAGATAGGTTCTATTACAGAATTGTCAATTGTGCAATCTGAAATTCTTATTTTGAAATATTGATTATATTAATATTTAAATATTGCAGTAGTATCTTATGTTTGACTTGAAATGTGTTCTTCAGTGATTTATTTAACTTGGTTTTAGAAGTGTGAATATCATATTTATTTGTGACTTTTGTATTCTGGAGATAAAGTACTTCATATACTGTTAGATATGAAAATCCATTTTTAAATGTGCTTTTGTATACTTGTGTGGTCTTTTGAAGAAAAAAAAGTTGCTTTCTCCGTTGCTGAATAAAGTATATATGAGTGGTCATGGTAATCTACCGAGAGTACACTATTACTAACATCTGTTGATGGAGTGCTGACTAAAGTGTACAGGTGATCACTCCTTTGATGATACACGGGTATGTGCAATTAGTCAAGCATAGGCATCTAAGAATTTATTTGACAGTAAGATGATTTTAAGCACTATTTTTGGAAAAGAGATAATACTATAACCTATTACAGGTAGTATATTACTCACTTATTACCATATGCTGCCCAGTGTTCATATATTTTACTTGGATTTCTTGACTTTCCCAATGAGCTAACTACTGTGCTATGGCTTGAATAGGAATGGCCCCTCCAGATTCACATGTTTGAATGCTTGAAGGTGTGGCCTGTGGAGGTGAGCTTTGAGCGCTCCTGTATGCTCAAGTCCCACCAGTATGACACAGTCTCCTGCTGGCTGTGGATCAAGATATAGAACACTCAGCTCTTTCCCCAGCACTGTCTGTCTGGATGCTGCTATGCTTCTTGCCACAATGATAATGGACTAAACCTCTGGACTGTAAGCCAGCCCCAATTAGATGTTTACTTTTATCAGAGTTGCCATGGTCACGGTGTTGCCTCACAGCAGTGGAAACCCTAAGACACATTGTGATTGTAATTCTTTATCTTGAGGATGAGGAAATCGAGAGTTGGAGATGTTGAGCAACTGGCTCATTGTCATACAGCTGAAAGTAAGTGGAGAGTATAGATACATGTGTAGATAGTATTGTATAGTATTTAACCAGAGATCTCTCTACATTCTAGAGGATTTATTTGGTTACCCGTCTCTTACAGGCTTAGCCTGCTCAGTATATTCAGTTTGTGTTATACTTAATTCTCTTTATCTAACAGTAGACATCTACTTGAACTGCTTGGATTTTCTGATTAGATTCTTAAAATTTGTATAGCTGAACAATACTGCATACTTGTATCTTTGAGATCTTGTGTATTTGCCTGTTACATAATCAGATCTTTGGCACTTAAACTCAAAGCCATTCTTAGGGCTCTGTTTGTTCAAGTATGATTTGTTCATAAGAATAATATTTTTAGGGCTAGATATAGATTTTTAAAAAGAATGACTGATGCTTAGGTTTTACATACATGACCACACACTATTAAATCAAACCTTACTATAGAAAGTAATTATTTTAGCTTCTAACACATCTCCCTATTTTTGAGACGGAGTCCCACTATCTAGCCCGGCTGGCATGGAACTTGTTATCCTCCTTTCTTAACCTCTCAAGTGCTGGGGTCAAAGGCATGTACCACTATGTCCAGTTCAACATTATTTTTAAAGTACATATAATTATCTAAAATACTCTTGGGAGTCTCAGAGTATAAGAAGAGATGTCAGTTTGCGTGAGGCTGATGGGGAAGGGTTTTACAACTCTGTTTGCTACCTGAAAACATGGAGCTTTTCATCCTGGATCTTAAATAAGTATGCCAAACACATCAGAAAACAGATGCATTAAACAGCAGTGTTGTGGGTTATGTGAATGCCATAACAAGCAGGGTAGATATTCAAAGTTAAAGTTAGAAATATTTATTCAAATAATGTTATATCACAAAATCCTCTGCAGTTGGCTTAGTGATATGAAATATGACCATTGCTATAATGACAGTAATTTTGTCTCCTTATCTAGTCGTTTCAGAACAGTTTTGAAACTTTTACTTGTCAGGATAGAAGGTTGTAGATGGAACTTTCCTATATTCTCATAGTCTGTTGAGCAGGACTTTCACTTGACATACAGTATCATTAAACTTGTTTTCTTGTATAGATAATAATTAATGTTTATTACAGGCCTGATTTTGAACTTTTTTTTAATATAGATGAAACCAATTTCTATTATGGGTTTTCAAAGCGTGTATGTTGTCTGTTGAACAGGACTTTCACTTGATATGTAATGTCATTAAACTTGTTTTCTTGTCTAGATAAAACTTACTTTCACTATGGACCACTATTTGTCTTTTGTTTGCTTGTTTTTTATACCAACCAGTGTGATTGGTGGCTATGTCTTTTGGTAAAGGCTGACCCTATACTTGTTAAATTATGCCTTATCCTATTAATATAGAAGTGAGGTAATATTTTATGTTGTAGTCAAGTTTACGTTTTTTGATTTTTTTTTTTAATTTTTAATTTTTTTCTTACAAAATATTTTGGTCGTACTCTCCTCTTCCCAGAGTTTTCTCAGATCTTAGATCCCCACCTATTTTCATGTTCTTTCTTCAAATAAAACAAAACCAAGAAAATGACATAAAACAAAACAAAACCCACTAAATCGTAACAGATATAGCATGTGTAAAACCATGTAATTCTTATTGTATTGGTCAGCTACCTCTTACCATGAGGCCTGCCTTGGAGAGTGCTTGATACACCCAGTGACACTGCATTTGAGGAAACCAATTTTCCCTCTCTGAGATGGTATAAATAACAAATAGCTTCTTGTTCAGAGGTGGGACTTGATGTTTACTTCCCTTTTTCTGTGCTGGATTTGTCTGCTTTGAGCCTGTGCAGATCCTGTGCATGCTTTCACAGCCTGTGAGCTCATATGTGAATCAGTCTTGCCTATGGAAGATAACTGTTTTCTCACAAAGATCTACAACCTCTGGCTCTTAAAATCTTTTTGCCTCCTCTTTCACATAAATCCCTGAGCTGTGAAGGAATGGGTTAGATAAAGACATCCCAATTAGGGTTGAATGCTTTGAACTTATTTTCAAGGTGAAAGCAAGTAAAAGTGCATTATTATTGACAACAGAAAGATCAGCACGCAAAGTATACCACACTAAAGCACATACTGTAAATTTTCCTTTATATCAAATAATGCAGCATTTTTGAGACATAGTCTCACTGTCTAGCTCAGACTAGTCTGGAACTGGTTATGCTCTAACCAATTAACACTTCTAACCAAGAAGCTGTTTGTTATTTATACCAGATCAGAGAGGGAAAATCAGTTTTCTCAAATGAGTGTCACTGGGTATATCAACTACTTTTTTTTTTTTTTAACCTCATAAGTCTGATGATTGACAAGAATATTTTACATTGTATTGAAAGTTAATCCTATTTGATAAACCTTCACTATTTACAATTTTGTGGAATGATCCAGTCATCTTATAATTTTTTCTTTAAAAGCTGTGTGTCACATATATTGATGAAGTTGACAGTTTTGCAAAAATATTCTTCAAAACTATTCTCTGAGTAAAATTTTGTGTGAGAAACTGGAAATCTCTGACAGTGTAGCTTAAATTTTCTCTCCTCTCCTTTCCCAACTGCAGGTACAGTCTTTTTATTTCTTTCCTCTTATGTTAACTTACATTATTAAGCTCCAATTAGAATCTAAAAGCTTACTTTCTAATTTGTATTTAGGTAATAGACAACTTGGTAATTTTTA